TCCTATCGTGAGAATTCCAGCCCACTTCCTACTATGGTCTACATCAACACCGTCTGTTTTGGTAAAATCCGTCTCAATTGGCATAATCAATACACATCGAATACATTGTCTCTCTCCAATCGAGTAAGGCGGACGGATGTGAAGTGCGCGATAGATTCACAGATGTTCTGTCAGTCCCAATTCGCTATCCCTGTGCTCACGGAAACTGCACAGAGAGCGAGAGCGTTCACGGGCGTTCAAAAGAGCTTATACGGAATGAGAAGCATTTGTGGCCTACTGTAACTGGCACACACTTTTTACTAGCTTTGTGGTTTTACGAAGAACGTCCACCAAATCAAATACAACAGAATTACCCACATGTGCTAACGTGGCCGATCGGCAATCTGATTCCGGAAATGGACGGATAAGTTGTTCTACAATAGGGGTTAGAAACACAGATCCAAGGTGAACGTGGCATTTGTTATGAGTCGGATAGAGGAAGTGAAACCTGAAGGCTGAGCCATCTACGGCGTTCGAACCGGAGAATTCACTGCGATTAATCAAAGCAGCTTAATAAAAAAGATAGTTCAGCTGTGCGCAGAACTAACGCTGACTTTCGGCAGCATGATAGAATGGAACCCACCACTCAGTCATGTCACAGGAAGTGAGTGCTCGATGCGAATATGCTTGGCCAGAAACAACTTCCATTTTATGCATTTTGCTTTAAAAGTCACGGATTTTGTTTAGTAAAGTTGGCAGTAACTTAATCTCTCACAATGTTGTACATCCAAACTCCTTCAGCGCCGCTTTTAGTCAATTCTGTCTTTGCACACCATAAAAAGCAGAAGAGCAGTTGTCTTGAAATTGTGGTTTGATGATGAGCTAGTTAAAAGCATTCCTTCACTGGGCATCCACTTCATGTGTTGGTACGGCTCCATTCAGTGATGTGGTTATCTGCAATAGAAACTGACAATCAATCCTCAGAGTAGTGGTGCTTGTCGTTTATTCGAGTGAATGAATGCTATTGCACCATTGACAGACATAACTTGAGTAACATCAGTTCCATTCACGCAATAATCCAGTTACTTGTTGCTTACCTGTGTCAGCTTGATATTCTTCACTCCAGCTGTTCCATTCAATTGTACTACTTTGGATCTCATTGTAAGTGTCTGTCACATGCCGATTGCATTCCTACACAATGATGTCTCAACTGGATGAGTACTTACAAGTGCATAAGGCTTACGGTTAGAAAAAGAGATGGTTTGTGGTTCTATGCTAAGACAGCTTAATGAGACCAACTTTTTGTTACAACTTTGTAACTAACTGCAGCGTGACCCGGGGAATACTCGACATGTTCTAGTCTTATGGCAGTTCCCGGTGCTTTGCCTCAACATCTCCCCAGATATGTGTATTGTTTGCAGTCAAATGCAATAATTTGTTTAGTCCTGGTTTCAAATAAATGTTTTTCCTGTACTGGACTGTTATCGGCTGCGATCTGCCATGTTCATTCACCTCAGTTAAAATGAAGAAAAGAAACCAGAACCGATAAAAACAAGGGTACTCAGTGTGATGAAAATTCCGATAGTGTTTGCGTCCTCTTCGGAAGTTCTCGACAAGCGCAACGGAGTGAAGAATTCCAAACTGATTGTACTTCTTTGATACACCTCTTGTTTAGGACAATATTCGTGTGCCAGATCCCTTGTCGGCCATTGGCGGTTGACCCAAAGAAGTGAACGAACTGGTTCCGTCGACCTAGCTGTCACTGGGCCATATTATATTATGAGCATTAGTAACCCATGAACTCGAGCAAATGAAAAAGATTCAGGAGTGCAAATTCAAAGTGGAAAACTGAAACTGCCCCATCACCAAAAAAGGGATATTAGGAATTCAATTAATTCTCAGGGTCGACGCAAGCAGAGAAAATCTGGTGAAAACTCTCTACCGTAGATAATGGTTGTTATGAATAGGGTGCAGCCAAAACTTATAGCTATCCAATCTGATAGAATAGACCATACGGAGGAAGAGGCTAACAAGCTATAGAAAACTCTCAGAAGCAAATACATAGCATATCGGCTTCGTGCTCACTTATCTTTAAAACGAAAATCAATTACACCTTTCAGGTATATGAACCGGAAATGCTTTCAAGTAAATTTGCAAACATTTTGACGAAGGGCGAGCACAAAACTGCTGGCGAACTAGAACATCTATCTATTCGTAAACACCAACAATTTCTTCCTCGAAAATAGTACTTGTATTCAATCCAATCTATCGCATTGTAATCTAGAAGGGCTGGGTTAGGGTAACACCAATTACACAAATGTTATTTGCCCCGTGTTTTCTACTGTGAAAGTATTTGTGTGAGTTGATCGGTAACGGATCAGTTACAAAAACCGACATCCGGTTAGTCGATCGATGATAGGTGACGTACAAAGTTACAGATTGTATTTTAACTTACAACATATACACACTATTGGCATTTGTTGTACGTAGCTTCTTTCGTTTGACGTTTTGTCTTCAGTTGACACGCGGTCATCTATATCCTATTCGGTCAATACCATCTGCCTCAATTCTCCATTCTTTATCTCATTTCCATTTACTCCTGACAGCCAAACAACTTTCTCCGGCCACACCGCTCGGACTGGGGGATGCTCGAGTATTAGTTACGAAATTGGCTCAGACCATGCAAGTGGATGAATTTCAGTTGCAGCGAGAAAAGGAACTGCAACAGCGAATCGAAGATGTTCACGTCCAGCTGGAGCCATTTGAAGAGGTACGACTTTTGTATTCTGGAAAGCCGTATGTATATCACTGTTTCTCGCGAAAAATGGGGAACACTGTGCTAAATTACTCCGTGTTTTTTACATTTGGCCTGAAGTACATCGATTTGAGATGAGGTGAGTGTAATGAAGCTACAACACACCACTCAACGGAGTTCTGTTGTAGTTAACAGAACCTGCGGTTCTGTATGACCTTTCAGCCCTTGGTGTCTGTTCATAAGTTGTTTCGAACTCTCTGTAAGCTAGAGTGGAAAACAACTCTCACAAAATAGATGCAAAACATTTAACTGGGAATTTCATGCGGTCGTTATCGTGTCAATGACCAGGAACAGGTTGACCATTAGGTGATTGTTCGGTTTTTCCCTATACAAAGGATATACCCTACTAGACAGACGCTAGCTTTCCTAATATTGTTTTTCGATTTCACAGCCACATGGTATTTTGCATGGTTTTCTCTTTTCTTGGTATAAGTTTCACTCTTTAGAAGAGCATTTGTTTAGCAACTAATAAATTCATTTTATACGTGATGGCTATTTCGTGTGAAAGCCTGGAATTAACACTGGACATGTTTTTCATCATTGCTGAAGCTCATCGGCATTGCATACCATACTCTTTCTTCCAAATCCACCACTGACTACCTACACGTTTAATGCCGACAGAGTAAAATCAAAGCTTCTGGGTCTACGTAAGTATTCGGCTCCAGATGCAGGCAATCTACATTCCCAACCGCTTATTTCGTTAGCGGATCACATATCTTAGCCCCTAGCTTTTCTTTTCCAAAGGATGTTTGACGCAACCGTGCCACCACAGTCATAGAAACAAGGCACAATTTCTCCTATTTACAAAGGCGGATGTTGTAGTGATCGTGCCAATTACCGCCCGGTGACACTCCCGTCCATTCTATCCAAAGTCATGGAATCCATCGTAGCGGATTTCTTGGTGGAACAATTAGAGAAATACGACCTTCTTTCTCCAGCTCAACATGGATTCCGTCAAAAGAGATCATGTACTACCAATCTGCTCCTGGATACCCTCGGGTAAAGCAGAGCTGAATGCTACCGGGTGTGTCCTCGAGTTGTTTTTAGGAGGATACCTTCACCGAAGAAGGTTAGTTGGGAATAAGTTGTGGCATGCCGCAACAAATAAGCAGTCACGAACAAACAGCGATGGTTCTATCAGGGTGTGGTGGGTTTCAGGTCACATGGCTCCTGTTTAAAAGCATAAGCTCCGTGGCGGTGTCTTGACAAAGGTCGATGTGACTGGCCTTTCAAAACTAAAGTCATTGACCCCCTCACTTCCGAGGCGAGGGATTACTTCCTGCTGCCTTGCAGTTTGTAGTTAGTTGTGCAATGAATAGAGATGCACCCTCTAAATAAAGAAACGCCGAATGACGCTGGGGAAGTCTCTTGTACCAAACTCCCAAGGAACTTCATGATCATCATCACGATCATGTTTGGATCCGGCTTACCCTTTCCAGGAGCCAGCCGAAGTATCGCCGTATCTCGCGGAGTCCCTCAGGGTTCTGTGCTTGGTCCAAGACTTTTTCTCTTGTTCATAAACGACCAACCGAATATCTTAGGACCAAAAACATTATTGTTTGCAGACGACGTCAAAATCTGGAAGACAGTGACAGAATTTGAGGGTTCGCTGGAACTCCAAGAAACACTAAATGCAGCTCACAAATGGTCTATTGAGAACGACATTTAATTTAACGTCTCCGAATGCAAGGCGATTTCGCTACGCCACCATGAGCGGTTTATTTATTTCCTCGGAAACGAACTACTGCCTCATGCATCAACAGAGAAGTAATTGGGTGTTATAGTCCACGAATACCTGAGCTGTTCTGGTAACTGCGCCGGGGCATCATCAACCGCACTCAAACATGTCGGTCTACTTAAACGTGTTTTCGGTTGTTTTGAACCATCGTTATTCTCACGTCTTTTGTCAGCATTCATCCGGCCACATATTGAGTATGCCATCAAAACTGGGAATCCATGGTTACAACGTGTTCATAAGAGCGTCCACAAAGGCTCGCCACGAGGATAGTCAAAGGATTCTATTATGAATCACACATGGGGAGACAGCGGTCATTAGGTCTATACTATGCTCACTATCGTCGGATTGGAGGAAACTTGATTTTAGTGTGCCAAATATTACACAATCCAAACCACCCTTGTCCCACACTTTTGACGTTTGAATCATCTACGGGGACATCCATTCAAGTTACTACTCCAGAAATCTCGACTGGACTGTCGACGTCATTCGTTCACCATCAGAGTATGCACTGTCTGGAATCCCTTACCATCTCATGTCGTTTGTGCCACGACGGTTGATTCTTCCAAGGTAAAACTTGAAGAATCATTAACACATTACACTGCAACATCCTTGAGCACACAATGCAACCGAATACAGCAATTGGAATTTTATTCATGGATTCAATTCGTGTAACCACCCTATGGGCAGGAAAGGCATCTGCTTGTAAGTAATGCCCATAATGAAACTTAGATATAGAATTACAAGAATTCACCCATGAACTATCCTATAGTTCAATTCAATGTATGTAGCATTCAAAGCTGAATTTAAATGTGACGGCCGCCAGTCATTGAGCGAATAATATTTCACGAGACTATGCAAATCACGAAAAATATGTCCACTATTTGAGGTTGCCGAGGCAACGCAGTATTATTTACTAACCCGAATCACTCTAGGATCACTGCTGGTCTCTTTGTTCTCCATTTATTTTTTTATTAGGAGTGATTAAATGGAGGATTGCTAATATAGCTGTTGTGTTTCAAGTAAAATTTTCCTACAATTGAGTTAAATATCAGAATCCACTAAAGCTACTATCACGTTTACTTCAATTTTCAGAAGAAGAATGCTTTGGCTCTGGATGCAGCCAAACGGACACGGCGCCTCACTTGGTTAGGTCTTGGTGCAATGGGCTTGCAATTCGGGCTTTTGGCACGCCTCACGTGGTGGGAATACTCCTGGGATATCATGGAACCGGTGACTTACTTTGTCGGTTACGGAACCAGTATGGCGATGTACGCGTACTACGTAGTTACGCGACAGGTTAGTTAAGTTTTATATTAAATTTTAGATTGTTTCATAGAGCGTAAATATCATGCAACGATTATCGTACGTTGGAACGAGGAGTCTTCATTGAAGACCAGTATTTTTATCCTACAACACACTTTTGCAGATAAAATAGGTTTCTTCGAGGATATTTGATCCCACTGTTTCTATCTAAACATTGATTTCAAACCAGCAATCTGAACTGAATAATCCCAAACATAAAGTTTTCTAACACTTTGTTTATCATTTATTCCTTGCGTGCATGTAGCATGAGCAATTACTAGCGTTTTGTAATTCGTTCACAATTCCACGAACCTATTGCGAAAGATCTTTACGTGAATGGAAGTTGCATCAGGTTGGGGTAGGCCGTCTAATGGTTGAACTTCAGGATCAGGGACGCTTTAATGATACACTCAATCCCTGTCTGGTTATCGTCACTCAGTACGTCAAACGAAAATCCGTAGGTTTTCACGTTTCTCTGCTTGTTATTGTAAGTTGTCTTTTTGTCCGCTGCTACCGATGAAGAATAATGCTGATACAGTTGGAAATAGATTTCATGCTACAAGAACAAAACTTTGATGTATTCATTTATAGTTCGGTGAATGACCCTTCATCAGGAATGCTCTGTAACTCGTTTAAAGTTGATAGAAACAAAACGGAGATACATGAATGCAGTTATTCTACAAGAGATTGATCATTCGTCAAATAAGGTTTCCTGACCACTCCTGTGGACTGGAGTAGATGAACTCGTGTGCATAGTATTGGAACGCAGATGAAGGAAATCGAACACTTGAAATTACCGTTTTTATCAGAATTGAGCGTATTTCATGTTCGCAGAGCGTAAATTACTAGCTTCACCCCAACCTCACTTAAGCAGTTTCATAAGTTCACAATTGCGTAAGATTCATTGTTCGCCTAATAGATGTTAGAGGTTGTTTCGCCACCAGATAAACAACAGATGACCACGAAGTCCGGTTTCTGTTGCGTGACTACAATCGACCAATCCGACCCCGAAAGCAGTGGTTCGGTGTCTGAAGCACATAATTTTCCAGCCTTCAGTGTTTGGGTCATTAGCGCGTGGTGAAATGTTACACCGCCGGGCCACTGGTTATATTTTCAACACAGAAGAACGTGCTGAAATGATTGAAACCTTTGGTATTTTTTTCACGGTGTGTACTTTCCACCAATTGACAGGATAGAAACTTGGATCATGCAATCATTCCATCACACATGGTGTCTTACGAAAAATCAGTTTTTTCTGTCAGGTTGCATGCAATTCGATTTGGAAGATATTCATTTTTAGGGTTAAATCAAGATGAGCTTCAAATACCCGTCATGAATTTCTGGCAGTTAGTAAGTGTAAATCGATTGAGAATATGGTAAAAACAATGCGACATCCTGGAAGCAACCTATGTTCGACTGTTTTTTATTATTGGCTAAATAGTAGATTTACTGCAAAAAAATAATTAAGGAACTGTAAAATAACACTAAACCCTAAAATGCTGATGCATTCTTAACGTAGTTAGTGTTTTCGGTACACGGTGTTTTGTGCATCAGAAATAAAATCTTAACAAACTAAAGTATAGCAAACAACAGAATGAGCACTGAATATATACTTTCCTTTATTAAGTCTGTTACCATGTCCTTGTGTGGCCTCAAAGTGTAAATATTCAGGTAGGGTGCCGGAATATTTATCCGCGAGGTACATAACTGACTCCTATGACCATGATCGCTTCATTAGATCACACACTTGATGTTAAAATTTCGATGACACTAGTCTCGGCGTATGAGTTTCGCTTGTTTTTGGATGTGTGCGGAAACATCAGAGCAACAGAACTCAAACTGTTTTAGACTCTGTCCCATCACTCCATAGGTTGTGTCAAAATCCCATAGCGGCTGCCTAACTGTCCTCTTCTCTTTAAGTCATGCGACAGCCCTTTCTTTGTTCAGTCGCCCCTTCCTTCATAGTGCTTGTAAAATTACACGATCAATAAAAAGGAAATAAAAAACTTGGAGCGTAGAGATCTTAGTTGCACGAAGGGTTCTAACTGAAGGATATATACGTGGCAATAAAATAACCAAAATCTTTTAACCCAGATAAGACCTGAGGGAAGGAGTTTTCCTCACTACTTCTGTGGAACGCAAGTCTTACTTGGTGGGACTGACGTAAATGACAACGCTGAAATGAGAATTCTCAGCAGTAGGTGAATAATGGTGTAAATGTTTTTGAGCTTTTTGGAATGAAGTTTGTCAGGCTGTTTCGGAGTTCTGGAAAACAAATCAAACGTTGTGAAACATTTAACTCGTTGAATCTAATGGGAAAAGTTTGTGCTTCTTGCTAGAAGGTTAACAGCTATCGAGTTG